AATTTCTTTAAATTTATAGAGGTGTGTTTTATGGCCCAGAATATGGTCTGTCTTGGGGAATGTTCCTTATCCATTTGAAAAAAAATGTGTAATTTTTTGTTGTTGGGTGGAGTATACTATAAATGTCAATCAGGTCAAATTTATATTGTTTTTCAAGTCTTCTATAGTCTTACTGATTGATATGACAATGTATTACAGCGTGGGTGGCTGGCTTAAACAACAGAAGTTTATCTACTTACAAGTCAGGAGACTGGAAGTACAAGATCCAAGCATTGGCAAGTTTGGTTTTTCCTGAGGCCTTTCTTCTTGGCTTGTAGATGTCTTCTCGCTGTGTGTTCACATGGCCTTTCCTCTGTATGTGTGCATCCCTGGTGCCACTTCCTTCTCCAATAAGAACAGATTGGATTAGGGCCCCACCTTTGTGACCTCATTTAACCTTAAACTACCTCTTTAAAGACCCTATCTCCAAATATAGTCGAATTGGGGGTTAGGGCTTCAACATATGAATCTGGAGGAGGGCGGGGGACATTTCAGTCCATGACACTGATTTTCTGTCTACTTGTGTTACTGATTACTGAGAGAGGAGTGCTGAAGAGTCCTACTATATTTGTGGATTTACCTGTTTCTATAAGTTTTTGCTTCATGTATTTTGAAGTCTTATCTCAGCTCTCATATTCTGTGATTCACTATTTGCCCACCTCCACAGTTGAAGAATGGTATAATGAACACCATATACCTACCACCTAGATTCTGCAATTAACATTTTACATATTTGCTTTATTAAATATCCATTCTCTGTTTCATCAGTTTGTCTTATTTTTTGGTGGATTTCAAAGTAAGTTGTAGTCACTTTATCTCTAAACACTTAAGCATACATGTTGTTAACTAGAATTTAATAATAATTTAAAGTTCTTTTTTTGTTTTGCGGTAAACTTCATATGGCGAAATGTACAGATCTTGAGTTAATCGGTAAATTCTGCTGTCCGTAGTAATACTGTATATTTGTCCTGTGATGTGGGACTTCTTGGACCATTGTATATTATCTGTTACTTTCCTTATAGGTTTTTGGGATCTGATTTTTGCTCATCTTAAGAGGAGGACTTAATGGTAGTGTTATCTGAGTTAAGTAATCAGGTCTGTATTTTTAGGGGTTTAGTCCTAGACAGAATTAAAATGATTGTATAAATAGGATCCATTATTAATTCAGTAAATATTTTATTTATTTTTAGTCTTTAATTGTGGTAAAATACACATAACATAAATTTGCCATCTTAACCATTTTTAAGTGTGTGGTTCCATGGCATTAAGCACATTCACATTGTTGTGCATTTGTCGCTAGAACTCTTCATCTTGCAAAACTGAAACTCTATACCCACTAAACAGCTCCCTATTCTTCTCTCCCCCCAGCCCCTCAAAACCACCTTTCTATTTCCTGTCTCTGAATTTGACTCCTTAGGTACCTCATAGAAATGGAATCATACAGTATTTATCATTTTGTGTCTGGCTTATTCCCTTCAGCATAATGTCCAAAAAGTTTATCCATGATGTGGCATGTGAGAATTTCCTTCCTTTTAAAGACTGAATATAATTCATTATATTCTGCTGTATGGATATACCACATTTTGTTTATCCACTTATCCATCAATGGATGCGTGGGTTGCTTTCACCAGTATTTATTGAGCATCTCTTATATATCAGTCACCTTTCATTAGATAAACACTTGTTGACTGCCTTTATGGACCTGATCCTGTTATAGGCATGAGGGATACTGCAGCAGTGAACATACACAGACAAAATTGTTGCCTTCAAGAGGCTTATATTCTAGTGGGGACTGAGGATGGGGAGATGGACAATACACAGAGAAATGTATTTCTTGATTCCAAATTGCATTTTTTCACATTTTAGTGTTTCTAATATTGGGTTGTACTTTACAGTTGATGCCATCTTAGAATTATTTGACAGTGTTTCTTTTTTAGTAACACCTAAAATAATGGTATATCTTACAGTCAGTTTGAATCATAGATTTGGTGAATCACTATTAATAAGTCAGTTGTTGATAAGTGCTGTGAAAAAATAAACCAGAACAAAGGGGATAGAGAATTACATGGGGCTATCCACAGATAAGGTGACATTTGAGCAGAGCACGTGTTCAGTACAGGTGATATTTTTTTCATAGCAGGACTTCCTCCCTGCAGGACATAGTGTGTTGGTTCACGTTCTTTTCTCACTCTGGACTGGTAACAGCTTGTGGACTAGTTACTTTGAGCAGCATTGGTATAAAGGGTAGAGCCCTAGGAGGTGGGGGGTGGAGATGGGGGTTAGGGAACAGTTTGCAAGGTGGGCCCAGATCTTGTAGGCATGGTAAGGGCGAGGGTGACAGAATTTTCCATCTTAGGAACTGGCAGCAGTTCTGGCTCGCCACAAAAACTTTGGGTCATCTTTGATTTCTCCATTTGCCCATACATTATACCCGGTTAGTCAGCAAATCCTGCCTGCTGTACCTTCCAAACATACCCCAGTTCTGACCACTCTCACTACCCCCACCCAAACCACCCTGGTCCAGGCCATCATCATCTTTTGTCTGGATTATTATGATAGCCTCCTAACTGGTCTCCTTTCTTCTATGCTTGCCTTCCTATAATCTCTTCTCAATTTAGCAACCAAAGCAATCCTTTGAAAACATGTCTGATCATGTTACTCCTTTCCTTAACGTCCCAAGAGCATCCTGTCACTCTCCAAGGAAAGTAAGTCCTTATGGCCTATAGGGTTCTACACTGTTTGCTCCTCGACTTCTTTGGCCTTATATCCTGCCTCTCTGCTTTTCACTTATTCTGCTGTTAGCTGCCTTGGCAGCCTTACTGTTTCTTGATCGTATTGAGTATGTTCCTGTCTCACAGCACTTGGACTTGCTCTTTTCCTTGCCAAGAATACTGCTCCCCAGATATCTGCAAGGCCCACATCCTCAGGTGTCTGCTCAAATTTCACCTTGTCAGAGGACCTTCTAATCATGCTATGAAAAAGAGCACCCTTCTTTCCCCACTAGCACTATGTTTTCCCCTAAACCAGGATAGGCTAGTTATGCTGCAGTAGCAAACGGCTCTAAAATGTCAGGGACCTGAAATGACAAGGTTTGTTTCTTACTGCAGGCGTCCCTCCATTGTGAGTCGCCTGGCAGGGCCTGTTCCGTATTGTCTTGAACTCTGGCGTCCGGCTCGTAGCATAGCCACCATCTTGATCATTGGCCAAGGGAAAGGCCATTCACTGGCTCTCCAGTATTTGCCTGGAAGTGACATCTACTATGTTGACTTGGCCAAAGCAAGTCACATTGCCATATGCCACTTCAGTTAGGGGCAGGCGTGGGTGGGTAGCAGTCCTATCTTTTATCTGAAAAGAGAGCAGGAAATCCATGGTGGGTAACACAGCCTCGTTCTTTACCCCGCTTAATTTTTCTATAGCAGTTATTTGTATCTGACATGATATTTACCTTGCTTTGTGTATTTTCTTTTCTCTGCTGTCTAGACTGTAGGTACCACAAGGGGAGGGACTTTGTCCATCATTTGCTGCTATACCCCAGGACCTAGGATAATGCATGGTCTGCAGTAGTAGGTGCTTATTAATTGTAGAGACATGAGTGAGAATACCAAAGCAAACCATTCATTTGTTCATATGGTGACATGTAAGCCATTGGGAGTGTGGAGCAGGAAGGTTTGAGGAGAGAGCACACTTACTAGAGAAGAGCAGTAGCATTGCTGGTCAGTGGAGAGTGTCAGTTTGAGATTGGAGACCATGAACCTACAGTGGAATCATGCAGGCAGCAAGGAAGAGGCAGGAATGAATAAATAATGGGACCCATTTCACAAGGATCGGTGAAGTCCAAGTTGAAGGAGGAAACCTTCAAGGTGCACATCTGTCACCTCTGCTCCATCTTCGGTCCTGTCGGAATAATAAGGGAGGAGCTTGCCTTTCACCAAGGAGGCCCAGTCTTCTGGGATTGTGATTGCGGTGGTTGGAGCAGTTTTCCCTATATTCATTCTTTATTCACTTCTCACTACTCTTGAGGTAGTGTCTCTTATCTTCATTTTACAGGTGAGGAAAACAGGCTGAAATTGCTCGCGTTAGGACTTAGGTTGGTCAGGCTCACAACCACGGTGCTTTCCGGTACGTTTGGGGTACTAGGTGGTGGGGACTCCGTTTTCTGGGGGGCGGGGAGCTCCGTTAGCTCTTAGATTCCCTGGAGCCTTGATTGCATCTTGGTCGTGAAAATAGTATGCAGCCACTTTACCGATGGTTCCAGTTTAGCTGTTTGTAAGACCTTACCAGAGAGGAAGTAGTTGGGCTATTTTTATATACGCAAACAAGTGCAATTACCACACTATCAACCATAACTAGTAGATTCACTCCCCATTGAAGTGCACCTCACACAATATGAGAATGTCTCTGTCTGAAAGTGTCTGTGACGCTTTCCTGTGGTCTTGCCTGTTGATGATCTGGACATTTCATTCCCTCAAGGAGCTGTGCTAGGCTTTATGGCCAACATAGAGAAGAGAAGGCAGGTGGCCTCCCTCGGGAATCTTTAATGTAGTCGGGAAGGCAAAACAGGTTCCAGACCCTGACTCCTCAACTAGTACCTGGAAACGGGGATGCAGGTTGGGGGAAGAGCCCCTCAGGCTAAAATGGGAGAGACTGATGTAAGGAAGTGGGAACTGAGCTGTTGTTTGAAGTCTGCGTGAGATTTTTTTTTTTTTAAGTGAAAATCCCATAGTACCTTTTTTTAATTCATATGTATGGAAAATGTAACAAGTATTAACATTTTAAATAATCTGATTTACTTAATGAACATTCTGATATGGAGAGGAAACTTCACTCTTGAAACACTTTTTCCTCATATAATTTCAAATTATTAAGAATTAAAAACATAATATTTTATAGTTTGATAAGATTTAGCCTATCACTTCTCTACTCAAAGGTTATTAAATCTTACAGTCTGAGCCAGTATTACCACCACACAACTGTAAAATAAATTTATTGATGATAACTTTATAGAATTTACTCCCTGTATTTGATGTTACAAACTTAAGGGTCTTTGAGATATGCAGGATCCTTGTATGTAACTGGCATAAACCCCATTATTTGAGCTCTCTTAATTGCTTTTGTGATTTCTTTTTGTTTCTTCCCACAAAGACCTGCTATGTGCCTTCCATAAATGCATCCAGTAAATGGAGAAATAAACTGGGATAAAAGCTGTACATTCTTATAATCTACACGTTTTCCACACAAGATAGATTTTTTCAGAGGCTCCTTATAAGGATTTTCCATTGGAACAGGCAGGTCCTCATTGCTGGTTACCTGTTTATATTGTGAACAACTTCTCCACAGCACTGCATGAGCCCCAGAATCTGTGAGGCAGACAGCAGCCGTTACGAAGTGCGTTAACATTCTCCTTCCTAGCCCACTGCAGAGGGCTACCATAGCTGCCATGGTTCGTTGCTCTTCCTCTGCGTGAGATTTAGACAAGGCTCCAGGGTGCCTGTGGTGGAAAATCTCAGCAGACCACTGCAGGCAGCAATGTTAGCACTTTTAACCGCTTCTTAAATTTCTTAAAGTAAATGTTTATGTATGTGAATCCCAGTCATGCTCAGGAGCTAACTGGTCAGTCTGATAGAAAACATACTCCCCTGTCTATTTCTCTATACTTTGGTGACCGTTTTCTAAAAAGGTATTCCATGGAAGTAAACTTGGTTTGGTCTCGTATAAGAGCCAGATGACAGTGAAGCCCCCATCAGCCGATTTCGCTTGTTTTCCAGTGCCCTTTGATCACTTACCTCTGCAGGAAGATGTTTTGAAAATATATGTTAATAAGAATTAAATTCCAGAGTGTGTGAACTTTGTCTTCATTCTAATTCAAAAGAAGTGAATTCTCTTGCTTTTCAGTTGTGTGGTTTTTAAAATCTTAGGGACAGTCATTCTGAAAGCAGTTTTGTTTTTCCCTCCAGACAAAGCACCTGTGTCCAAGGGTCTTTTACTGGTCCCCAGTGCCCTGTCCCTCCTGCTGGCCCTCCTCCTTCCACACTGCCAGAGGTTCTTTGTGTATGACCTTCAGGCAGTCAAGGACGACTTCCAGGTGAGCTCCGCTCCACTGGCCTCTGGGAGGGGAGAAGGCAGGACTTCTTTGATTTGCCTTTCTTCCTGCCATTCTTAGTCTCTCAAAGCCTCTAAATTTGTAAGAAATATTATTTATTATTAATATTCCACTAACAAGTAACTTCTCTAGTTGTATTTATTGATAATTTCAGCAAAGCAGATTATAATGAAGCAGTTGCAGTATTTCCTTTTACACATTTCTTTTCAGCTTCAGTTTTTACTCATGGAAATGCAACTTTTAATTTCAAGAGAATTAAACAATGTTAAATCTGTTTTTTGTATGATTAGCGTGCATACTTAACATTTTCAAAAACTTGCCTCAGTTTGAATATCTGTTAGAGGAGCTAAGCTCTCTCAGCTCTAATAGATTGAGAGTCTGTGAATTACTTTTATAGTGGTAATTAAACCAAGTAGGAAATTTCTCTTGGGTTTTTGCTGGTGGGAAGAGCAGAAGTCTGTGGCTTTCAAGATTTATGGGTTGATCACCTGAAAAATGCTGGTGCTGGGTCTTGTCTGTGAGTTGGAGTGCAAAAGGGGTATTCCGGTACCATTTCCAGCTTGGCAGGGATTTCCCCACACCAACAATAAGCAATTCTCAGACACCAACTTGGGTGTCCTACAGTTGAACTCAGTTCTGATGCCATCTTCCCAGAGAGCATCAGATTCCACAGGGTTAGGGCTCAGTCCCACAGGACTGCCCACTGCGCTCGCACTTCAGATGCCAGTCACCAGCCCAGGTAGTTACTTGGACTTCTGACCGAACGGCTATAAATCAGAGTTCCCACGACCCCCTCCCTGGGCTCAATTAATTTGCTAGAACAGTTCACAGAACTCAGAGAAACATTTTAGGTACTGGATTACCAGTTTATTATTAAAGGATATAGATGAACATCCAGATGGAAGAGATGCATAGGGCAAGGTAAGGGGAAAGGGTGTGGAGCTGCCGTGCTCTCTCTGAGCCCCACTCTCCTCAGATCTTCACATGTTCATCACCCAGGAAGCTCTCAGAACCCTGTCCTTTTGGGTTTTTATGGAGATTCATTATATAGGCAGGATTGATTAACACTGGCCATTGGCAGTTGATCCACCCTCCAGCCCCTCTCCCTCCCCCGGAGGTCAGGGTGTGGGACTGAAAATTCCGACCTTCTAATCACAAGGTTGGTTCCCCTGGAAGCCAGCCCCCATTCTTAGGTGCTTCCAAAAGTCACCTCATTAACATGACAAAAGACACCGTTATAGCTTTCTTCACTTTGGAAATACCAATGGCAAAGACCAAAATATATTTCTTATTATAAATCACAATATCAGAGAGTGTTAGTGCAAATTATGGTTATAACCTGCCACTTTTCTTTGCTAAATACTTGATTAGCCATTTTAAGCATGATAATCCATTCTTGAGCACTGACATCTTTTCTTCATAGGGATGTCATTAATGCCATTGCTTAGGTGGGCTTTGCCAAGTTCCTGTGATTCAGTTATTTATCCATACTGCTGCTTTCTGTTGGAATATAATAGAGCTTCAGTATGATTTCAGTTGCTGTAATACAATGATTCTTAATCCTGTCTGCACAGTAGAATCACCTACATAAAGTGTTTTTTGTTTTTTGTTTTTTGGGTTTTTTTTTTTGATGCCAAGACCTCACCCTAGACCAGCTGAGTCAGGGAGCCTAGTGGTGGGGCCTGGGCATTGGTGTACTTTTTTAGAAAGATCCCCAGGGGATTCTAGCATATGGCCAGCCCTGAGAACCACTGCTGTAAGGCAATGTCAGGGCCCTGTGGCCCTGAGTTGGTACCTTTCTGTTTGGGGGGTTAATTTGGTTCACCTGGCTAAGTTGGCCACAGTCCCCTCCTCCTGCACCACTTTGTGGGCATTTGTGCTCTAGAGGTGGGACCTGCCTGGATGGAGGACAGTCACCCTCTGTCTAGGAGTGCAAATAGCCACACTCTCCTGGCAGAACCTCTTAAGGAGCCCTCAGTGTGCATTTCTAAGAGCTGCTACAGAGATATGGAGAGTTTCAGTTCTACCTTGGGGAATCTGAGCTTAGAGTATTAAAAATAAGCAGTATAACGTAAACATAATAAATGTGCCAAGGAAGAGACCTGAACAAATCTTACTCCTATTTGTTATTCTTTTTTAAATCCCCATCTAGATTTGGAGGTTGATTTGTGGAAGAATAATTTGCCTTGATTTGAAAGATACTTTCTGCAGTAGTCTGCTTATTTATAATTTTAGGATATTTGAAAGAAGATATGGAAGCAGAAAATTTGCAGTAAGTTTTTATGTATTTTCCCTTTGCTACTTAGGTTATAGAAAAAAATGTTTCTGTTTTCTTGTTTTTAAATAGTTTTATTTTGTTAAGCTTGGTGTTTCATTAACAATTATCTTTTTATTACATGATCCTCTGTCTGATTTGGAACATGGACATTAACCAAAGAAAAAATTTAAATTTAAGCGATTAGCATAATAAAATAATAATGATGATAACAGGTAATAATATCAGTGTGAGTGGGCAATAACTTTTTTTTTTTTTTTGCTGCACTGAGCCTTTGTTGCTGCGCGCGGGCTTTCTCTAGTTGCGGCGAGTGGGAGCCACTCTTCGTTGCGGTGCACGGGCCTCTCATTGCGGTGGCCTCTCTTGCTGCGGAGCACGGGCTCCAATCACGCGAGCTTCAGTACTTGTGGCTCACGGGCTCCAGAGCACAGGCTCAGCAGTTGTGGCGCACAGGCCCAGCTGCTCTGCGCATGTGGGATCCTCCTGGACCAGGGCTCGAACCTGCGTCCCCTGCATTGGCAGGCAGATTCCCAACTACTGCGCCACCAGGGAAGCCCAGCAATAACCATTTTAATAAGGATTTTTATTTTAATAAAACTCTAATCACTTATTTTGCTTAATGGTTTGTTGTAAAAATAAGTCATGCTATAAATATCTTTTCTTCAACATACTTAGAAATTATGGAAGTTAATACATTTGACCAATATGGTTTTACTCCCTCACTTTGAAAAGTCTATTCAAATAAAAAACAAACTTTAAAAAATATATATATATCTGAGCTGGTTCTAATTAAATAAATGTTAGTTTATTTTTAGAAGACTCCTCTCTATAATGTTCTTCCTGTTTTATTTTTAGTCCTTTCTGCTGGGTTCCTGGGTTTTGTCGGCGGTGGGTGACTTTATCCTCGTTGAAGCTGTGCGGTATTCCTTTGGTATCACTGCAGCCAGGAATTTGCCGTCTGGATTGTAAGTAGCTCTCAAATATTAGCTTAATTCATAACTACTTAAATCTGACTTAAAGCATTATTATACATGAAAGTCAGTAAGAGAATATTTTAAACTTTTAGATATAGTAAAATTGATTTTATATGTAAAAATTCCAGTGTATACTTAACATTTTCATTATGTTCTTGACACAGAATCTGTTTTACACTCACTCTTTTTTTTTAGCTTTCAAATCTCATATTTTAGAGAATTTTTAATGAATTTTCTCTTCTGGTCCTGAAGACAGAATTGTGTTTTCATAGTGAAATTTTGTCTTTGTAACTTTGTTAACTAATTAAACATAAAAATACAAAATTTAATTAATTAGATTAGGAAACAAAATTTATTTGTCTGAAGTTAAGCTTCTGAAGAATGATGCTTTTCTTAAATTATATTGTTTATATATTTCCACCAAAGGTAAAAGAAAATCAGTATATAGGTTATAACTTCGTAGCCAATCTGCAGTGGGCAACCTAACTCATAGAGTGTCTGTGCTTTCATATTGTGTTGATTTTCTTTAAAAACAAAATGAGAAAACATGTATTAATTTATGAAATAATTGGCATTTAGGAGCAGAGTTGTTAGCACATATAAATGCCTTTAAAGCATCTCTGAATTAAGTTTCTGAGACGGTTTTTAAGATATGAGATACTATAAAATAAAGGTAACATATATTTAAAATTTGTGTGTACTAACTTCAGCCTTATTTTAATTTTCAGTATATATTTTTGAGAACTGTTAGGCTATTGCAAGTACCTTGATTTAGATTCACTTTGGATCTCTATTTTTAAAATACGGTTAGTGATCTTATAGCTCTCACACTTACATTGTTAATATTTATGGTAATAGCTGCCCTTCGTGGGATTTACTGAATTATTGGCATGAGTATTGATGTTTAGTTGTCTTAATAATGTATGATTCTGAATAATATTTTTTTTTTTTTTTAATTTATTTATTTATTTATTTTGCGGTACGCGGGCCTCTCACTGTTGTGGCGTCTCCCATTGCGGAGCACAGGCTCCGGACGCGCAGGCTCAACGGCCATGGCTCACGGGCTCAGCCGCTCTGCGGCCTGAATAATATTTTAATGGAGACACATAAAGTTCTGTGTCATAATTA